TTCCACAGAGTAAATGCAGTTGTTGCTTTCTGTCCTCTTTCTCTACTAATTCCTTTGCCTGCCTAATATCCTCCTTAATCTATTATATGGCCAAACTAAAATTCTACTTGCTTCAGAAGTCAAGGCAGGTCCATCATTTACAAGTTGTTCTGCTATATTTAATGGAACAGTTAAGATTACCCAGTTGCTTTTTGATGTCCTTCATCTGGAAGCTCTGCCCATATAGTCACCAAGGATTCCCAAAATGTGTGAGAAGTTCTGTGCCACACTTTCTACTTAATTCCCTCCCTTATCCTCTAACAAAGAGCCATGAATAATATGCATGATTTCTCTAGCAGATTAAAGCTGCCCTCATCTACATAACAACCACCCAGTAATTAGTAGATGTTGCATCAAGATTATGCTCCTGCCCGAAGTCTCCTATCTTCCTATACAAGCTGTTGCAGTTTAATAATAAATTTAGGATTAATTAAGTCCAAACAGTACAGTTTTAACAGTACAGTTTTATTATTCCTACTACTTCAACAAGAAAGTCATCCATCTCCAAAAGACACCTGCATAATGAAATATTTTGATGGACGCTAGTCTGCCAAATAGGTATAGTCAAAAATGTATTTTAAGTACAAAGTCTTTTATTTAAGAATTGTCCAACACCATCTGTAAAGTTACTATTGGCTGAGAGCACAGATATTCACTTACCGGTATATGGTTTAATAGTTTAAATTAAACAAAACATGTCCGAAAGGTGCCTTTTCAAGAGGCAACAAAGTCTAATTACTTTTTGAAAAAGCACTTTTGGGACATCCATGACCTGGATGACTGAGAATCTCCACAGACACTTAAACAAAACATGGTTTGTTTAATGAACCACAGCTGAAGGGATTGGAGAATATACACCGTACTAAGCAGCTCCTATTGTGGTTTAGTGAAATAGGTGAAGCACAATCTGTGCAGCATATGGAAGAGCACACCAAGGTATTTAATATACCAATGAAGTGTTTTCCTGCTGTTGGAAGGCTAGGAAGAGCTGTAAAAGGTTCTATTAGGGGAGATTCTACCAAAAGCCACCTCAGTTTTTATGAGGTGTTTGAGCTTTTGAGGTCCTTCACCTCTTTTTTAATTACTTCTGCTTAAGGTAGAACAAATTTCATCCAACACCTCAGTTGGAATTAGGATTTAGACGTGAATTCAGCTAAGTGGTTTCCTACAATAGTGATTTAAAAGTTTGCGAACTTTTGCAAGTTCAATATTTCTGCATAATATGATATAAAGCAGTGGTTCTCAACCTTTTCTTCAACACAGACCCCCTTTAAATATCTTTTGTGGCCATGAACCATGGCCACAGACCCCCAAGATTTAACTCAAGATTTAAATCATAACATTTCTTCAAGCCTTCACAGGCCCCTGTGATAATATTGCCCCCCACCCATCCAGGAGTCCATGGATTACAGGCTGAGAGCCACTGACCTAAAAGATAATCTGTTCTCCACACAATTCCCAAAACTAGATAAAGACAACCCAATTAAACAAATGAGTCAAGAGGTTTGTACTTATTCATTTCTGGGTAAATTATTATGATATTTGACACAGCCATAAGATGGCCTAGTAGCAGGGAAAATTATGAGATGGTATTTTTTTCTTAAAAATAATGGCCCTGTAATTTGGTCTCAACTGGCAGACCCCCAAATTATACTATTGCTAATATATAAAAAAGGCAAACTCATTCTCATTGCATCATTCCCAAATAAAATCCTCAAATGCCTTAAAGCTAAGCTAGCTCTGTTAAAAAGGAGTGTAGAAAGAATTATCTCTAGAGCTATCAACAAAGCCCAGGGTTTGGCAGTAACTCAATCTCTGAATAAAACAGCAGGTTCTTTTAGGAAAATGAGACCATGTTTTCTAAAAAAAAAAAAAAAAAGCCCTCAAAATGTGTATATTTTTGACAGCTGTCCTGTGTCAAGTTTTAAGTTCTGACAAGTCGACTGGCAGAGTGAACTAGCCATATAATACTAAAAAGCATTTGGCAAGATCTGCAAATAAGTCTTCTATTGTGCTTGTAATTACTTCATAAGTACCAGTTTATTTTCTGCTTCAATAATTTGCAAAAAAAACCCAAAAAACAAAACAAAACATCACAGCAGTAATGCGTTACAGGGATAAAGTAGTTTTAATACAGAGGTTCTTCATATGATAAACTGTTAGGACTCTTTTTGGAGTCATGCTTACAGAATACGGAACTACCGTATGTCTTTCCCAGTACATAGTGAAATACAGTTCACTATGTTCTGGGAAAAATATAGTGAACTGAAGTAAAAGCAGAGCCAGTGACTACCATGGAACGAAGAGCCAGCAATTAGAGTGGCCTTTCGTAATTCCTCCCTGAACAAGAGGAGGACTTGAGATTGCCCGCAAGTGCTCCATTCAATTCCTCCTCATGAGGAGATTGAAAGACAGGGGTCTCTGGTGGATTTAGAGCTCTGGGAAAGGAGGGAATAGCCATCTTGCTCAAACTGCGGTTGGTATCTTTGAAAGGACACTAAATTCACATATTTCCTTTTCTAATCATTTTTGGAAATTGTTAAGTGCTTTGCAGCTGTTAGGAACCTTTGGTTCAACAAGTTTTATAGCGCCAAATGAGTTTCCTTCAAATCTTAGTGAAAGAAGTTTTAAATACAAGTTTAAAGACTTATATGGATGTTCAGGGAACAATTTTAAAAGAATCAATGGTCATGCCTCCTTGATCAGAGCTCTATAAAGCTAGAGCAGCCAAAGAAGAAACATATTTAAGTTTTTTTTTCTTTTAAAACTTAATGCAATTAAAAGCTCAGAACATTCTTGTTCCTTCTTTTGTCTACCAAAAAGTTTTAGCCCACCAGAAAGTTTCATGCACCAATCAATTATGTCCATTTCACTTTGGCTGTCTAGTATTTTTCCCTCCCACCTAATGAGTATGGATTAGGATTATTAATTGATGATTGACAGGTCTTCTATGAATTTATATACCCACATAATCACAACATGAATATCTCACCAATCAATTATCTCTGCGGTGGGCAAATACATTTTAGACATATTTTAACACTAGGGATGGGGGAAAAAGGAACAGGTTCCACTCGGAATATAAATAATGGCAGATAGCCATTTGAAACTTCAATCTCCCCCAATGAACACTGGGAACAAAAAAACTTTAAAAAGTTGAGAGAACAAAGAGCCAAATACAGAGGAGTTTGCCAAACAAAAGACTGTTTAATTTGATGGTTTGATAAAGCAATCTCTGAGAGTTTTAGGGTTTTTCAAATGTATCGTAAGTCACATTTGCAAAACCCTGAAAAAGCAAATAGTTTTGATTTCTGGTCTATTGAAAAATAACCGTGCAATTCTAGGACCAGTTTCCAAATTCTGCTTTGGAAAAGGACTATATAGAGAAGTGGTATTTCAGTAATAATAAATCCAAATCTATTGGTTTCACAAATGTGTATATGAGAAGAGGCATTTACAAGTTGTGCACACTTATTAAACCTTGACAAAGAGCACAGTTGGATTTGATCTTTAAAAACAACTTGGCAATATACATGAATTATGTCAAGTCTCCTCTGCAATGTCTTTTGGTAAAGAAAACAAACGGAGCACCCTTAAAGGCAACAATTAAAAAGTATGAATAATAGAAGATATTCTCCTTCTCTTATGCTGGAATATCATTCTAATGTTTTACAATTTTATAGCACAGCAGTTTTCCCAGTGATTTAATTACTATCACTGGAAAATGTAGTCATTACAAAATGAATTCCAGGATTCAGCATAACTGCTCTAGTTGTAGACAAAAATCAGCAATATCTACAAACTACAGAGTAAACCATTTACACCCTGAACTTGGTTGTTTTCTTTACACAAACTAGTACATTTCATTACACAAACTAGTACTGATGATATTACCTAGTTTGGGTAATGAAACATCTGCAAAAAAAAAACAAAAACCCAAGCTCAGAGAGCACCAAGGAGCCCTAATTTCAACCCTGAATTACAAATTTTCTCCTTTATTGGTAAACCATATACAATCACAATGGGAGCCACTTTAGGTATGGATGAGTAAAACTACTGTGTAGCACCAAAGGGAAACAGGTACCTTGTCTTAGCTAAATCTGCAGAAAACTCTCCTCCAAATCTAGAAGTCAAATTTGCTCTATCATAAGAAGTATTATCCATACTACCAGGCAACATTGCACTAGAACAAGAAACTTTTACAGTGAATGTCCTCCAATTCTCAACAATCCTGCATGATAGCATATAGACAAGTAGTTGAATGCAACTAAAAGTCTTCTTACAAAGACACACATGCATATATGTTGCCTCGACAGCTCGATAAAGTCCATGTTGCAAAGTAGGAAGATGAGAGGATGCCAGAATCCATACAGATTCAATTTTGGAGCAGCAATACACTCTCAAAATTCTTGCATGGCCAGATGGCTACTGAAGCACCAAATTAGATTTAGAACTTGGGAGCCCAAAGAATGACAGCATTCTATCTGCAGCAGTGTTCTGTCCCCAGAGCCAGGACAAGCAGCGATGCATTCTCAAAAGGTCTCTCTATAAATATTGTATATATAATCCTAGCCAAAGATCTAATAAACTTCTCTATGAACCTGCCTTTAATAAAGTTCCCTTCCAAGAAGAGGTAGCCTTCTATCTTTATCATGGAACACATAATTAAAAGAATTTTTTAAAAAAGTTATCTCGCCATATACTAGAAATGAAGCAAAAACATTATTAAAGGGGCTCTTAAGTCTACTTTGCATGCAATCAGACCAAAAAGCTAATCCCTGAATTTACATAGCCATTCTTTTATCATGGGTAATAAAGGCACAAACACTTGAAAAGAGACACATCAGAGTCACCACACACAAAATAAAGTCCAGGCTAGATGAAATTACTTATCACTTTATATGTTTTACCCACTCACATATAAGGTCATTTTAAAAATGTCTACAAAAAGAGCAAATTACCTGGACAAATCCACCTTCCCTAGAGAGTGACTTTCATAAAAATCCATTAGTGTTTTTTTTTTCCTTCTTCTTCAACAAGGCATTAAGAGGTGGCTCTTTGATATCCACGGAATAAGCCTGCACATCAGGGCCTACTGGAACCTCAGTCTCAAAGCTCAGCAAAATCTTAAATCAACAGCATTCAAAGCAATTAACACCAAAGTAATGATGCCCCAGTTAAGGCAGCTCTCTCATTGCCCAGCCCTTGCCCTCATCTTCAAAGAAGGAGAAAAAAAAAATATGTACAGCCCTTCATTAAGTTTCTGCTCTAGATAAACCAGTCAAAGGGACAGCCCTGGGCAAGGCGAAGGGTTGCACTGGAGCCACCTCCATGGACATTACTTTTTTTCTCCTCCTTTTTGGAAGGTGGGGACCTTAAGCTCCTCCTGAGATACAAGTGATTATTCATCACACTCAACATTTAAAGAGGCAGTGGTGGAGAAGATGTGGGGGGGGGATGACAAACCACTCAGCATGGGTGTCAGGTTTCAAAGGCAAGCTCCTCTCAGTCACGACTTCAAGTGGAAAGAGCCACGCAAAATCCAAAAAAAAACACTACTCGACTGCTTTGACCAAGTCAATCCAGAACATTAGAAGGCAGAGAATCAAAAGAATGCCACTTCGTTCCAAGCCTCCCTTGCTGTCTCTTCTGCCTTGGGGACACTGTCCCAGGCAGTGCTTTCACACGCACAGCGGAATTCGTTTGCAAATTCAATCCGGATCTAGGCAAAGTTGAACACCTGTTTCCCTCATCGGAGTCCACTAAAGCCCGTTGCCCTTAACGCTCTCTCTTCCTTGTTTAATCTCAAGACGGGCTGGAGTGTTTATCCTTAACTGGATTATTTAACAGTGATCAGGTGGACGAACATCAATAGAACAAACACACAAACACACACACACACACCCCACTCGCTCAGCCGGCAATCTCCTACACGCGCGACCCTGCCGGGCAGGATTTGCTCCCTGAGCAATCTGGCGCGGACTCTCGACTTCAAATTTCGATCGCTCGATCGTCCACGTTCGTTCGGACTCCTCCGACAGGCGCCCTCCAGTAGGATCTCAAAATTCTGCCAGTTACCCAGTGGCTATGGATTAATGGGACTTGTTGTCCGACGCTGAGGGAAAGACCCTAGTTAAGGGACGCCCATTCCAGAAAGCCACCCACATCCCGATTTCTGGGAAACGAGCCACGAAGGATCGATGCACCCCCCACCCGCCACTGGAAATATTTGGGAGAGGCAACGCGCGGGGAGGTAGGTTGTGTAAAAATGTAGCTGGGACACGAAGTTAATACAGGCGGTAGGGTAGGCGCAGGTGTAAACGCACCTCCGCAGTCTTGACTTCACCTCCACACAGACGGGCTAGATTATGGTCGCGTTTGGGAATCAAATCTGTCCGCCTGTAAATTGACACACACTTAATCCTGGTCGACGGCCTTTTTTTACCGTATAACGCGCTTCTAATAGTTTGCCTACTAGGCTCAGTCTTAAACCAGAGTAGGCAAGATCCGCTGCGAAGGTTTACGACGGAACGGGGCGAGGAGGACCCGGCGCGGCTTCTTCCCCCCCCCCATCCTCCTCCTCCTCCTCCTCCCCCCCCCCCACCCTTCAAAAGACTCCGATCGCTTCGTCCCCTCCACCATTAGTAGCCGCAAGAATAGCCTGAAAAAAGTGAGAAAAATCCCACGGGAGGAGGGGGCGGAGTGTGGGTTAGGGGGTAGGCACACCGGTCGAACCTGCCCAGACTCACCCCCTTTTTCCTCTCCTTCCAGTCTACCCAGCTCGATCACTTACTTGTCGTATTCTTGTGTCATGTCTGGCAGTCAGTGGGTGGCAGAACTGGCCTGGCTGGTTGGGACGGGAACTTGCCGCGGCCCAGGCGAGTTAGGGAGGGGATGAGGAAGAGCAAAGAAGAGCAGCGAGAGAAAGATCGTACGCAGATCGCCGCACAAACGGGTTTTGTCGGCTTTTCTCGCTCGCTCAGGTGGCTCCCGGCAGGCGCAGGTGGATTCGCAACTGCGCCTCGCTTCCCATTGGCTGGAGCCGAGAGGCTGGTGCCGGGTGGGATGGAGCGACAGCGGAGCAACGCCCCAGCGGCACGCCCGATTGGAGGATTGCAGCGGAGAGGGCGGGGCCAAGACGGTGTTCGCCGCGTTCTAAATGGAACGTTGGGGTTTGGCGTGTATTCCCCCCGTTGCGCTGCGCTGGCGGAGGATCGCAAGCGGATCCCACGGGAGGTTCTGTCAACGTAGCGTTGTTGTGACGCAGCTTCTCCGGCGTGGTTCAGGCTCCCCTCGAACCTCCTCGGTGCTGTCAAGAAGACGAAAGGGCCAAATTATGTAAACGCTCCCCCTCCCCCTCCCCCTCCCCTCCCCGCGGAGTTGAGAGAGAGAGACGCCGCGGTTGCGTTAATTGAAATCCTGGCTGTGGTTGAGAGACGCAAGATCGGAATGAGGATTTAAAGCGTATCTTAAGTGTGTCACTGACGGTGATTCCGACGGGCGGGGCTGGGGATTTCTGCGTCCGTGTGTTTGTTTCACTTGCCGGAACTAAATCCAAACCTGTTCCCCGATTTCACTTTTAAGGAGAATGCGGACGCGTTCTATTGATATTTAAATTTCCACTTGCTGCCTTTCTGATAGAGGCATCTTTGAAACGCGGCTCAAATATCTCGAAGAAGGGTGTCTGAAATCTATATTCTGGAGTTGTTGTTGTTTTTTTACTCCGATAAAGCCAATAATGGGACGCAAAATAAACATCAACCTAAAAGATGCATATCCACCAATTGAACTTTAGGCAAATAGATGACTAATTTTAAAAAATGCACCAGACGGTAGTTGCGTGTCTCCCAAAGTGTTCCCGAACTGAGATGCTGCTATACACTTTTGATTTGCCTTCCAATTTTCTGAGGCCTGAGACTAGGCCTTATGTGATGGTCTCTGAAGGCAGGTTCCTGTAGTAGACACTCTGTAAACAAAATGCTTCATCATACAGATTTCTCTCCTAACCACCCAGTAAAATGGATTGGATAAAGTGACTTGCCCAAGGCAAATATCTTGATGAAGGGTGGTTTTTGAATTTAGATATTTGTTTTATCTCTACATTTCCTAGTAATGTAATATGACATTGAAATAGGGGTAAGATCAGTCATTAATGAAGGATGAAGGTTATCAGCAAAACATAAGTCACCACTCTTTGAAAAGATAATTAGACATTTTCGTTCAGTTTTGTTTCTTGTATATTGACATACTAGAGTCTTGTTTATCAACTCCATTTCCCCATAATTTAGAGTTACATTATCAAGCCTCCATAATTACATATTTAACATTTGTAACATTTACATTGACAGAAGAAACATTTAATATTCAAATCACATATAAAAAACAGTTCAAATATTTAATAATAAAATCAGCAAACGTTACACTCCAATAGTAGAACGGTAATAATGGAGGGATCAAATAGGAGTTTGAGGGGTAATTATGAAACATTATGCAACATTGCAAAATGGCAGGGGGGGAATTTGGTTGTGTAACATAAATTGATAGTGAAAACAAGACAAGGTATAAAAAAGTGAATTGGTCATTTGGAGATCCCAGTACCAAAGAAAGTCTTTAGTAACCAATTTTGAGAAAAAACATATATTTGTTTTGATTATATGATTTAAACATAAGTCCATCAATGTATAGGCAGGGCAAAGGAATGACTAGAATTCTAAGAACATAATTTATTCATTTGTTCACAATGAAAGATTGAATTAGTGAACGGTACAATGATGGGGAGAGAATCTAAATGTGGCGTAGATAATTTCTTGCTAATGTCAAGAAAGGATTTCAGGAAACAAAAAAGTACATGGAAGAAAACTGAAAGAAATTAGCATAAAAACAGTTGAGGGAAGAGAAAATATGAATCCTATATGAAAAAAATATTACAAGACAGGTGACTCTCACCACAGAATGAATGGAAGGGGATACAAGGAAAGAGAATTTGGAGGTATTTGAGTCAGAATGAAAAGTACTGTATATCACAGAGTGCATAGAAGTGTGAAGAGCTACAGGTAACATGACACAGGACCAGAATTTCTATTATAAATCAATGCAGTTGTAAAGGGAATCATCATGCGACCAGACCTGGTTTTACATCCAGTTTTACTGCGGTTGTTAAGCAAATCTAATTTCCCCAATTGACTTGCTTGTCAGAAGCCAGCTGAGAATGTCACAGATCACAATCAAGTGACCCTGGGATGCTGCACCCATCATAAATCTGAGCTGATTGCCAAGTGCCCAAATTGTGAACATATGACTGCAGGAGAGGTGCAACAATCTTAACTTCAAGGATAGCGTGTAAGTCACTTTTTCCAAGGCTGTCATAACTTCAAGCTGTCATTAAACGAATGGTCGTAAGTCCAGGACTACCTGCACATTAATAGGAAGTATGGGGGAATAATTGCTTAAAGGAATGATGATGTGAAAGTAGCAGTGGAGGAGAAAACATGCACAGAAATGAGGCCAAAATAAAGATGTTATCTGATGAAGAGAAAAAGATGATTGCAAAGAATGTAATAAAACAAGGAACTCTGGAAGTCCAGAGAAGCAAACAAAAATGAAGAATGATTTTGACTGCTTATCTTAATAAAAGTTTTATTAAATACATGAATGTTAAAACAATCAAATGCTGGTCAAAAGATAATGGACAGCAACTAAAATGGCTGTGCAGAGGAGTCTGTGTCTATCCACTGTATTATATAGAAGTGACGATTGGGTGTGTCAAGAAAAAAAAATAAGTGGAATGAAGTGGGATTGTTAAGTAGTGGGTGTGGTGAAATGAGGAGAGACCAGGAAAAATGAGGGAGATGAATTAATGTGGATTGAATTAACAATGGCCAAGTTGGGGTGGTGAAACCACTGGTGTGATTTGGTTCAATTGAGAAAAGGAGCATTGGATTTCCAATCTTTCGAATAAAAGAAAAATTAATGGGAGAGGAGGAAGGAATGAAAATCAGGGTTGATGGAGTTTGTGAGTTGGTTGAAAGGACAGAAGTCTAAAGAACAAAACTCAATGTATGAAGAACTGTACGATTGATTTCTGGAAAAAAGGAGAGAGAGAGGTGAAGAGATACAGTGACCCCAGCCTAGTTGAAAATTACAGACCAATCTCATTATGTTGTGTCACCTGCAAAGTCATTGAATCAATCATAAACCAATCCATTACCCTCCACTTAGAGACAAACAACCTATTCTCCAACAAGCAGTCTGGTTTCAGAAAAAAAATGTCCTGCAATCTGCAACTCTTACACTTCAAAAACATATGGACTACACAACTCAACCAGGGTAAAGCAATAAACACAATTTACATAGACTTCTGTAAAGCCTTTGATTCAGTGATTACACGACATGACAAACTACTTCTAAAACTCAAATCTTATGGCATTTCCGTAGCCCTGCATAAGTGGACAGCTGCATTCCTGTCAAACGGGCAACAGGTAGCCAAAATAGGGAGCACCCTATCAAACCTTGTACCTGTTAATAGCGGTGTCCCCCAAGGCAGCGTTCTAGGTCCCACACTCTTTCTACTTTACATAAATG